AGGCAGGAACAATAATGATTGTTGGTGTGGGTCGACTCGTCATCCGTTCGTCCGATCTCGTCGGGAGGGAGAGAACCTGTGAAAGAGCCGGGGTTGCCCCCCGGATTAAGCTCCGACGATCAAGTTAGTGTCTGTTTGTGGAGAGAGTTGAGAGAATAGCTAGAGAGATAAATTGTAGAGAGATAGTAGAAAGTGGAAAGTGGGGAGAGAGGGAAGAGGTCCCCTCTTTGGGGGGGGGGGCTTCAAGCCCTTATATACCTGTAGCGCGTGTCGCATCATGCATCGCCGATTGTGCGTCCTACTACTTAGTCCGTTAGCGTTCTACTACTTAGTCCGTTAACGGAGTGTTTAGTAAAACCCCCAACAATTGCCCCCCAAGCTGGTGGTGAGTCTTAACTCATCGCTAGCTTTTTTTTTTTTTGTGCACAAATTCTTCGTCGGTAAGTGGAGCCCTATGTACCCCAGTTGCCCCCCAGCTGGTGGCGCGTTTGACTGACGCGGTGCCAGCTTCTTGCGTCTTGTCCCCCCAGTTGGTGTACTTCATTAAGGCGTGTAGCCCCCCATTAGCGCCATTAACGCTCATGAAAGTAAAATAATGATTGTTTAATAATGGTAGAGGTATAGAGTACTTAGCTTTATGTTGGCGAAGCGGCTCGAAGAGTTGTTAAAATAAGAGTGTTGCGCCTAAGGATCACAAGGCACGTATCCAGCCCACTGGTGATGTTGCTTGTCTGGCGGAGGAAGGACGCGAGTTCAATTCCTGGCGGTGGCAGTAATATTTTTCTGAGCTCCTCATCTGTTGGGCTTGGGCGGGCCTGCATCACTTAAACGGAGCGGGCCGGGGATGCGACTTTGGGGGCCGATCCGCGAGAAGGGACCTCCAGGCGTGGGCTAGTTGTGCGAGAGCGGGCTGGTGGCTTTATGTGAAGCGCAGATCGGGCCAGGCGCGAGTGAGGGGCGCGACTTGGGCTTGGTGATCCGTGAGTTAAGCGGGTCGGAATCGCGGACTTGGGCCGCGAGTTGTGCGGGCCGCGATGCAAGAGTGATGTTGAGGCGGACTTGTGTCGCGAGTTGAGGATGTGAGCGGGCTTGACCTTGCGGGGCGGGAGATTGATCGGATTGGGCCAGGTGCGAGTGCGGGCCGCGAGGCGAGCCCATGAAGAAGGACTCTTTGGTGGACCTGGGTGAGCTTGAAGAGGACTGATGGGTGGAGCGGGCCTTGAAGGCGAAATTGGGGTTAAGTGCGCTCTTCTTCTCGCGCGTTTTTTTTTTTTTGTTCTTGCGAACTGAGTGGGCGCGAATAGTGCGTGACTATTGCTAATTTTTGTTCTTACGAACTGAGTGGGCGCGAATAGTGCGGGACTATTGCTAATTTTTGTTCCGTGGAACTGAGTGTGCGCGAATAGTTCATGACTATTGCGACTTTTTGTTTGTTCCGTGGAACTGAGTGGGCGCAAATAGTGCGGGACTATTGCTATTTTTTGTTCCGTGGAACTGAGTGTGCGCGAATAGTTCATGACTATTGCGACTTTTTGTTTGTTCCGTGGAACTGAGTGGGCGCGAATAGTGCGGGACTATTGCTATTTTTTGTTCCGTGGAACTGAGTGTGCGCGAATAGTTCATGACTATTGCGACTTTTTGTTCCGTGGAACTGAGTGTGCGCGAATAGTTCATGACTATTGCGACTTTTTGTTTGTTCCGTGGAACTGACTGGGCGTGAGTAGTTAAAGATCAGGTGCCGCGCCATTGAAACACGAGGCTCGCTTGTAGTCTGTAGACTGTTGGTAAGGCTGGTCGTCTTGTGGAAGGGTGGCGCGGGTTCGAATCCCTGTGGCGACAATAATTTTCTGAAGCGAAGCGGAGCTTGGGGACGCGAGTTGTGTGGGCCCTGCGCCCGGGCGCGAGCACATGTGGCGTGTGTGGGACTTGGGCCGCGGAGGAGCATTACGCGGGCCCGTGATTGGCATGTGACGTGTGTGGGCCGCGAGACGCGGCAGTACTCTGAAATGCCGCGCGGGCCGAGCTTGGGGACGCGAGCTGTGTGGGCCCTGCGCCCGGGCGCGAGCACATGTGATGTGTGTGGGACTTGGGCCGCGGAGGAGCATTACGCGGGCTCGTGATTGGCATGTGACGTGTGTGGACCGCGAGACGCGGCAGCGCTCTGAAATGCCGCGCGGGCCGCGATTTCAGGTGTGCGGGCTCGAGTGAATTGAGGGCGGGCTGATGTGGAGCGGGCTGGAGAGGCGGATCGGGCTGAGTTATGACGGGCGACTAGGACAGTGCGCTTGGGCGTGGGCCCAGTTGCAGTGGGCTTGTGGCGGGCTCAGTGTGACGCGGGTCGGGGTTGGATGGGCCGCGAGCTGAGGTAGATGGAGATAACGCGCGGGTTGCTTGTTGCCCTCTTTTATTATTTATATATATATATATATATATATATATATATTTTTTTGCCTCTGCAATTTTCCCTTTCCCTTTCCCGGCGGATTTTTTCTTTCTTGCCTCTGCAATTTTCCCTTTCCCGGCGGAGAGAGCGGGTTTACCGTCTTGTTGCGCGGAGAGAATCGCCGTTGTTTGGTCGCGCGTCTGCAGGGAGAGCCGACGAGGTAGGGGCGGTGAGGGGCCTCGGAGGTGGATCATGGCGCGGCGCTGGTCGAGCTTTGGCGATGCAGATTCGTATCGCGGACCGGGTCGAACTTCCATGACGGTGCATGTGATATCAGGGGAGCAGAGCTCGCGGTGGGATCGACTAAGGCGATTGGTAGGTTGTTTGCCTCGGGAAGTACGCCTCCTCCTTCTGACAGAGAGAGACTTGTCCTGTCTTTTCGTTCTTTCTCGACTGCAAGGCCACCAACTATGGAAAAGCAGTCTAACATTTGAGAAGCAAGTCGTGACAGCGACTGGGGATGGCTGAATAGTCTCCGGAGACCGAAATCTGGAAATTTCCAGCTTTGTTCTTGGTGTTCTTCGTTTCTGTGTTTTGCTGAAGTAGAAGATTCACAAAGGCAGACCGTGTTGTTCGAGATGAATGGCGGTTGATTTGGGATGTTTGTTCGGATCGATGACCGGGAATCCGCGAGGACCCCTCCTGTAAAGATGTCGTCGTTGCTTGTAGTTGTGGAGGAAGAGGCAATCACTTGCCAAGATTGCTTCTGAAAGTTTGCTAGCCGTCTCCTCCTCAATCCCAGATCTGTTTTTTTTTTTTATTATTCTCCCTTCTTTTGGACGCCAGAGTTGGAGGTTTCAGGGATAATATGTTGACCAAATTCTTTCTTCAGCCTCGCATCCCTCAGAAATCAAACGAACAGATGTTGAAATCAGCCCCACGGTGGGCGCCAATTGTTTGTGCCATCTAGCTCGAGGCAGGAACAATAATGATTGTTGGTGTGGGCCGACTCGTCATCCGTTCGTCCGATCTCGTCGGGAGGGAGAGAACCTGTGAAAGAGCCGGGGTTGCCCCCCGGATTAAGCTCCGACGATCAAGCTAGTGTCTGTTTGTGGAGAGAGTTGAGAGAATAGCTAGAGAGATAAATTGTAGAGAGATAGTGGAAAGTGGGGAGAGAGGGAAGAGGTCCCCTCTTTGGGGGGGCTTCAAGCCCTTATATACCTGTAGCGCGTGTCACGTCATGCATCGCCGATTGTGCGTCCTACTACTTAGTCCGTTAGCGTCCTACTACTTAGTCCGTTAACGGAGTGTTTAGTAACACCCCCAACAGTAATTTTTGTCGGTTTCTTTTGTAATGTTTGTAATCTTTGTTATTTTTGTCCACCATGTTTGTCATTTTTGTCACACATGTTTGTAATGTTTTTTATGTCTAAAAAACAATCTGGTTGACTTTTGGATGAAACTCTTCTATATAGAGATTGAGCCTCCAAAGTCAAACCGAGTATTTTTCCATTTTGTATGATTTTTCGTTCTAGTTTGTCATTTTTTCCCACCATTTTTATAATGGAGATTTTTCCAGAAATAGCACCATTAAAAAAAATTACAAAAATAGCACCCAGGTCATACAAATTCCAAAAGTAGCACCCTTTTTTAAAAAACGCACGGCCAAGGTGCGGCTTACTTACAAACCGCAACCTGAGGGTGCGGTTTGAGTTTCAGAAACTAAACTGCACATTGGACAGGCGATTTGCTTTCTAGCCTACCAGAACCGCATCCTGGCAAGGCGGTTCTTAGGCTGACCTAGCAAAACCGCTGCTGAGGATGCGGTTCTGTTGTTCTAACACAAACTGCATCCTCAGGGTGCGGTTTTCATTTGCCGACACACAAACCGCACCCCCCCCCCATGCGGTTTGTGTGTCGTACTCATTTTCGCGACAACCAACATGTTGGCCAAGCAGGGTTGACAGACGTGGGGCTGCATGGCAGATGAAAACCGCAGCCTCCCCCTACGGTTTTCAGTGATGAAAAGCCTATAAAAGGCAGCCCCGGGAAACCTCTTCTCTTCACACCTCTCCTTCTTCTTCTTCAATTTTCTGTTGTAGCACCCTACTTTTTATTGTTTTTGCGATTAACGTTAACTCGTAAGTTTATTTTGTATTACTTTTTATTGTGATTTGTGATTTTTATGATTTTAACTGAATTACGGTTTTATTACAGATGGCATTCCAAAAGTTAACTCGTATTGGTTGTTTTAAATAATTTAATCAAATACAATGCAACACTTGTAAGACTCTTAGAAGAGGTATACATCTTCTTAGAAATGCAACCTTTTTGACAGAAAAAAGGGGGGATCCGAGGATCGCTTAAAACCCAATTTTCTCAAGGAATGGGAGGATCATGATAATCGCTTAAAACCTCATTTCCTTAGGCATGCATCTCTTTATAAAGAGTCTAAGTAAGTGGCACTATGTATTCGATTAAATTATTGAAAACAACCAATACGATTAAAAATGATCAAATTTATTTTATATTTCACTAAGTACGTTAACAAATTAAAAGAAGTAAATTATTGAAAACAACAAATACGATTAAAAATGATCAAATTTATTTTATATTCCACTAAGTACGTTAACAAATTAAAAGAAAGAGAAATGATGAAGAATTGTATGTACCTCGTGATCGTTCCAAACATCCCTTGAACGATGGTTGGGTTGGTCGTACAACACGGTTGGATCACTAGGCCCTTGATCAACATAATACCGTTGGTTGTATATATCCACGTCGTCCCCAACCTACGATAGAATAACAACAACATTAGTACATAGATTAATTGAAAAGGTTATACAACAACATTTGGTAAATGAGTACGTACCGCTTGAAATTCATCATACTAAATTCCCTCTTCTTGGAACCACTAGTTCATTTTTTCGTGAAATTCGGACAGAGATTCGGCGGGTTTTGAAAGAAAAGCCAAAGAAATGTTTTCTGATGGCAGATCGGACTTAGCCGCAAGCCCGCAACCAACATATCACTATTTCCTAGACTTTTGGGAGGGGAGGGGATGGATAGAGAGATAATTTTAGAGAGAGAGAGAGGAGAAGGGGTTGTGGTGTGAAAAAATGAGGAGGGGAGGGGGTATTTATAGTTTTCAGACCGCACCCTTCAGGGGCGGTCTCATAATTTTGCACATTACAAAACCGCACAGGGAAGACGCGGTTCACGGCGACTGAGGCGTTGACCATTCGCCAGGCGCGCGGTCTTCGATCCGTGACGTGGATCGCTGCGCTAGCGCGCGGTCAGTCGTTGGATCGGCCCCTCATCCAACGGTGCTGGGGACTGCCGACTCGGGAACGCAGACCGCACGCTGACAGTGCGGTTTTCAAGCTGCCCTAGCGTGGACCGCTCCCCCGGTGTGCGGTTTGCACATAAAACGCACCTTGAAGGTGCGGTTTATATGTAAAGGTGCTATTTTTGGAATTTTGTGGGCTGGGTGCTATTTTTGTAATTTTTTTAAAAAAAGGTGCTATTATTGGAAAAATCCCTTTATAATGTTTGTATGTAAAAAAAAAACAATCGGGTTGACTTTGGGGTGGAACCCTCTATATAGGGATGGAGCCTCCAAAGTCAACCCGGTTGTTTTTTCCATTATGTATGGTTTGTGTTGTTTGTCGGTCTAGTTTGTATTTGTTTGTATAGTTCGTATGTTTTGTATTGTTTGTAAATCTGTTTGTATGTTTTGTTGTTTTAGTTTGTAATGTTTGTAAGTCTGGTTTGTATATTTAGTAATTTTCCATAATACCCAAACTACCCCTGTCATTAATTAAAAAGTTCTTCCTCTTTTTTTAACCGTCGGATTTGTGTGTTCATATTTGACGGCTAGGAGGGGCTTATATAGTCAAGGGATCCTAACCCCATTTGCCCACTTTTATTTGGTGATTCTTAAGCTCCATACGGGCAAATGGACAATGGTTCAAGGTACAGCTCTTATAAGTTATAACCCTAACGGATAGGTATGACATTATGGTTTCATGAGACCATGACTCTCAATGTATGTACGGAATGGATCTACAGCAAGGACTTGATTTAAATTTTAACTAGCAACATTTCGTCTCAAACCTTGCATTCTACCTCATGATTCATGACTTTAGAAATATCATCATTTGCTTCATTACCAGGAACTTCTTCCTTAATGATAAATTCTTCATTCTCGAGTTTCACTTCCTCTTTCTTGATGTTTCCGCATTCTCGGAGGATCATAAGGGTTGACGGTTGACCACTTCATTCTCGGAATTTTTAATATTTAGGGTCCGTTTGAATAGGTGTATTTCAAATGTAATGTATTTGAATTACATGTATTTAAAATGCATACATTTGAAATACAAATAATTCAAATTCGTTGTTTGGTTACTCATTTGTAATTTGTGGGTATTTTAGATTTTTTATTTGAATTTTGAATTTTTGGTCACTTACTATAAAATTTGGAAAATTACATTTGGGTACCCAAATTTATTTTTTCTTACAATTTAGTACATGAACTTTTAAAATTTTACAAAAAGTCCTGAAATTTTGATGGTAAAATTACATTTTGGTACCTTTATATATTTTTCCTCACACTATAGTACCTAAACTTTTAAAATGTTACAAATAGGTCAAATTCTTTGTTAGAAGGAATTTAAAATCACTAGTTGGTGGAATGTATTTGAAGTTGACAAGTAATACGCCAGACATGTATTTGGAAATCACTCTATGAATTTGGCACAAATTCAAATACCAAATGTAATTAATATCCAAACAAATGATTTGGTATTTGAAAATCCAAATCACAAATATCAAATACAAATCCTTCTATCCAAACACACTCTAAGTGGCACAAGCACATTGCATTTGCACAGGTAAACTGCATGCACAGTGTAGTGAAGTTTTCTATACACTTTCTTCGACCAAAATCTTTGCATCATCTCTCACGAGCACTTGGTCCCAGTGGTCTTCACTCTTTGGGGAGAGCTCCTCCAGTCTCCAACTGTTTAAGTAAGGTGGCTTGGGGATCTGGATATGCTTGCATTGGCCGAAGTACATTCTTCCACCTCAGTTTCTGGACTCAATGGTTATGGAATAGAGAGACAAGTTTGAGAAAACATTATAGTAGATAGACAATTATTATAATATTAAGCCTATTTTATTTGTCTATCAACTACCTAAAAAATTAGTGTTGGTTAATTAATGGGTCGCTGAAGTGCTATGATATAGTGTGTAACTCATAATTTTTAGATTGTTATATTTTGTGACAACTCATAACTGGTCATATGACATGCTTTGTTCAATGAAAGCTTCTCACTAGCCAGTGCGATCATCGTGAGGAGAAGTCATTCTCTTATCTCATTTTTTCCATTCATAGCGTATCATTTTGCTCTTTGGAGCTTCAACATAGTTGTCTACTTGGTGGCAAAGTAGCATCTTTCATCGATAGTCTCATTGTGGTTGTTGAACGTCTCGTAACATGATTTCTCTGCTACACCTTCTTAACTTATTTTGGACAAAAAAAATTGTTACGTGGATTGTTATTAGTTTGTTTAAACTCTCAAAATTTAAGTGTCTTGATTTCACCATGTTCACCATTTGAACAACCATTGCAATATTCCAACGAGAAGAACAAGTAGGGGTGGTAATTGGTCGGTAACCGGTTAAATCGGTTACCGGTATACCGGAACTCCCATATCCGCCTCCGTTTGCCGATACCGAGTGCATATCGGTACAACGCTTACCGAATTAGTATTTCATGGTTTTTTGGTCGGTCCACCGTTTACCAAATGCATGTTGCTGTGTTCTTCGTGTTCCTCTGCTTCTTCCGTTCTTCGTGTTCCTCTGCTTCTCGACCTCTCCCCTGCCTTCATCACGACATCACCACGCTCATTTCTCCTCTTTTTTCATTCATCCTTCCAACAAAGGACGCTATTTCTCAACTGGCGGCGGCGGAACCATTTCACCGGCGACACCTAGGGAAAGGGCTGGTGTTCGAGCGACGGAGATCGAGCGGCAGATCGAGCAACGGAGATCGAGCAACAGAGAGAGGGAATCAAACGGTCTCACAACTTCCTCTTTTCCTTAACGCTCAAATTGAGCCGGAGAGATCGAGCGGCGGTAACTCCTACCCAGATAGTTGATTGTTAGATCTCCCCTTTGTGAACGGTGGCGGCCGGCGAGGATATTCTGAACTGAAAACCCATGTTCTCGAAGCGGCGGCAACTGAGACGGAGATGGACAGGCTGGACGAGGAGTTCCCACCCCTGTTCTCCAATTTCGGGCTCCGATTGGTCCAATGGCATCACATCCAGATACATGCAACGAAGATTTCGAGAAACCTCATCTTATCTGCCTCTCATCTCATGCGCTCGCTCAAGAAATCAATGGTGGAGGGTGAGAAAGAGGAGGAGGAAGGAAAGTGGAGGAGCAGCTGGGTGATTTTTAGATTGATGTTATATTTGATTTCCTTCTTTTATGGGAATTTTTGTGAAGGTGAAGAAGACGGAGAGAAGAGGGGAAGGAAACGTAAGGAGGGGATTGGGAAGGGCTGGAGTGTTATCAATCACGGAAGCTTCGACGACAACGAGTTGGAACAAATCCCTTCGGCTGTCGACACGGCGGATGAAGATGACGCATGGCTGGGATGGGGATTGAGCGATCGGGCTTCTCCTTCTCTGCCTGGTGAGAATCGTGAGATGGAGATGGAGAGGAGTGAGGATGAAGATGGAGACCGACGGTAAGTTACCGGAACCTATCCGGTATACTGTTCAGTCCCTTTCGTCCACCGCCAACCGTTACCGCCGGTTAACGGTTCAACCGGTTACCGGTACGGTTACCGATTATACCGTTAACCGGAAAATCGTTTACCAGCCCTAAGAACAACCATACTGATATGAACTAAATGTTTTTTCCTTCATAAATTTAAAGGATTTTTGTGGTTTGTGTGTCGTAAAAATTTCCTCCGACACCCGACATGTCGCCAAGCAGGGGTTTGTAGCAGTGGGGCTACATGGCAGGTGAAAAGCCGCAACCAACAGAACACTATTTCCTAGGTTTTCTTAGGGGAGGGGGATGGATAGAGAGATCATTTTAGGGAGAGGGAAGAATGGGTTGTGGTGTGGAAAAAATGGGGAGGGAAAGTGGGTTTATATAGCACTCGGACAGCCCCTTCAGGGCGGTTTAGTAATTTTGGCCCAACTGAAACCGCTCCCTTAGGGGACGGTTTGTGTTTTCCGAGGCGAGAAACCGCACCCTCGGCATGCGGTGTGAGATCCCTGACGCGGATCGCACGGTTGGCAAGCGGTCAGCCGTTGGAACCGTTGCTTTCCAGCACGGTTTCTGTGTGAACCGCCCGTTTGGCGTGCGGTTCTTGGTCAATGATGCTAATTTGGAATTTGTGTAATTTGTGTGTCATTTTTGTAAAAAAAAAAGTGCTATTTCTGAATTTTTCCAAATTTAATGAAAACTGACAAGTTTTGAAATGACTTCTTATTCTGAATTGCTATTCGTCGCCCTAAATTTTAAATCTTTTCGCCCTAAATCATATTACATTGACGTTCATACCCTTATTTACAAAATCGATCCCCAACCCCTAACTTCCTCCCACCAGCCAAATTCAGGCCGTCGCCGCCACCGTTCACCCAACCTGCCGCACCTCCCGTTCACCCAACCCACCATCGTTGTTTTTCCCCAGCTGCTGACCCGCTACCATTGCAGAGAAGGAGAAAGAATAGCACCGGCCGGATTCGCTGTCGTGGCCATTCCCCCAGCAAGTCGACCCGTGGCGATTCCCCCAATCCGCCGACCCGGTGCAATTGCTGAGGAAGGAGAAAGAAGAAGCAGGAGGAAGTGGTCCGAGTGCTGGGCACCCGCTGCGAATCTCCCAATTCGCCGCCCTGCAGTGTGTAAGACATCGATTCCCCAATCCGCCGCTGCCGTTCCCCCAACCCACTGACCGGCTGCTGCTTTTTGGAAACACAGCGGCGGCGACAGAGCATTAAGAGGAAGAAGTAAAGGGAAATGGGAGGCAGGGGAAGCTTTCACTGTCAAGTTCAAGTAGTGATCGAAAACTCTTTCAAGTACAAAGCAGCCAAGTAGTGACCAGATGGAGATAAAGCCCAAGAAGTTCAAGTAGATGATCGGTCACTACCGGCGACACTTCTTCCGCGCAGCCGGCGAGCCCGGACTGGTTGTATTGGATAATTTTTTTTTATTGATTCAATTTTAGCGTTTAAGTGTTCCGAAAGACAAAAATAAATTAAGGACATTAAAGTAAATTTAACATAATTAGGGCGACGAATAATGAGTTTTAGGGCGACGAATAGCAATCCCCCTTCTTATTTTGTGGAACAACCACTTTATGAGCAAAATATCTCTGCTATTAGAAAGCAACAAAAATATCAAGGTTCTAAAAGGCGCTAGGCGTAAGGCAGGCGCTCGGCTCCTGACTTGCGCCTTGCCTGATTAGGCGTAGCCTAGGCGCGCCTAGGCGTTCAGAGCATAAATGGAAAAAGTTCTCAAGTATTTCTTGTTTTCTGGAATAATTCATATAATCCAAGTGCATATAAAATTAGCAATGCCTAGTTCTTAACAGTAAACACTTAACATAACAAATAACAAGCAAATATTGACCACTTCCTAGAATCACAAGTTCATAAAATGTCGAAATACTAAACAATAGTTCATAGGAAAATGTTCATTCTTCATCATCCAAGTAGGTCCGTCCAGCCACCACTTCATCTTCATCATCCTCAAAAGCAATCTCCTCACCATCCTCCTCCTCTTCCTCCTCTTCAGACTCTAATTCTTCATCATGGAGCTCTCTCACTCGTGCACTCCTGCGAAGCTCACTCTGTTCACCCGCCATTGCATCTGTAACAGTACTCGAGGGTGCACAATATGATTCCTCATCCTCATCTACGAATACATACATAGCATGGTCATCCCCTTCCCGTGTTTCTGATTTTCTAGGGCAAGAGGCAATTTTCTGATTTTCTAGGACAAAATGAAGAGTATTGGGTTTAACCGCCTAAGCTCGCCCAGGAACGCCCAGGCACGCCTTCTCTCCACTAGGCGCACGCTATGCGCTATTCCTACCTACTAAGCGCTACCAGCGCCTTTTACAACGCCTTGGGCCAAGTCAAGGCGATCCTCCACCGCCTAGCGCCTAATTGAGCCTAAGCGTGCGCCTAGGCGCGCCTTCTTGAACCCTGAAAAATATATCCCTACACAGCTACACTAAATCACACGAATATAAAAATAAAAAAAAATCACACGAATATCTTAGTTCCAAAATAAAATTGAGCAAAGAACCAACTTGTCTAGAATATAGCTTCGTAACCGACCTGGTCAAACTAACATATCCACCTTCCCTTAAAAAAAAATCTAACAGAATCCCATGGCCATAAACAACACAAATATCAGTTCACTCCGTTACAAATCCTTTCCTCGCATCACATATCCCATAAACCATCCTCCCTTCCCCTCCCATTATGGCCGCCGTCGAATCCTTCGAAGATTGGGAGTCAGTTCACTTCCCCGAGAAGAACCCCTCCTCCTCTTCCTCCGCCGTCGCGCCGATTGAGTCGGAAACGATCGCCGACGTTCAACAAAACGACACCGTTGCCACGTCCTCCGTGTCTCCTCCTTCGGCCGGCGTCATTTGCCCTCCTCCACCAATTAACCACGAAATCGTCCAGATTAATCAACCGTCTTCCCTAACCCTCTCCCTCCCGCCACCGGAGAATGAATCCGGCGATGAAAGAGGAGGGAGTGAAATTGGGGGTGCGGATTCAGGGGAGAGGAGGAGGAGGAGGGATCCGTTCGAGATTCTGAAGTCGGGAATCTATCGGGTGGCGCGGTGGTGCGCCGTCGGCCGGGGGAGCAGCGGGCTGTGGTCGTGCGTGGTGGCGGCGGCGGCGGTTTTGATGTACGCGAGGCTAGTGAAGTGGAGGCGCTGGGTGCGGGACGAGACGGCCAACCGTTTCAGTCTCCTTATCAGAGAAAAAGATGAGGTGGACATTCTTTTTTTTTTTGCTTTTGGCCTATGATGATATAAAAGTCTGTTTTCTTAAAATTACAAAAAATTAAGTTCGAATCCTAGAAGTTTTTAATTCATTTTACATATCCCAAAAGAGTCGGAATCATCTGAACGGTACTTTGTTTGTTGGATTACAAAATGAGATTTTTATTGAAACTTTCTTAATTTATGATAATTTGTTGCATTATAGATTTGAAAGAGTTGATTATCATGAATTTACAGTTTTTTTTACCATCTGTCTAACAAATTTATTTTCATTAATCAAATTCTAAGTAAAACGTGTGATTTGCAAATTCAAGATATACATGAATTTTTATTTAAAAAAATTCGAATTTGCATTCCAATATTTTCCTTTATCAATTAATAGAGTTATTCAAATCCATAATGTTCGAAATTCGGCTGCTAAATTCATCACATGGACTTAGCTTTTTAGGTTTTTCATTTATGATAGACCTATAAGTTATAACTTAATGGAAGATAAAATATTTGCTAAGGAGTAGCCACTCCGTTATCCTTAACAACATCAAAAGCTGTGATTATAAGTTTATATGTGATGTCTGTGGTGGAATATGCAGAAAATCAAGCAGCTGATGTTGCAGATTGCGAGGCTGAACGAGATGCTTGTACAGCGGCGCAGAGTTCTTGTGGTTCGAGTTCCTCACTATTACAGTCTATAGAAACGCTGTAAATCGATCAAAGTTTGTTTGGCCTATAATTAAGTTGCTTGCACCAATCTCTCCCATTCGATCGATCCAAATTTGCCAACAAATTGCTATATAGTGAGTGCACTAGTCAACTTTGCTGTTTCGTTGGTGCAACCTGCAGCGAAGAAAAGATTTGCTCTAATGCCTGGAGTTTTGGGGGAAAAATCCCACTGTACATTACTTCTTAAAAATAATTCTCAAAATATATAAGTTATAAAAAAATTTCCCAAAGTACACATGTTTGGCATTCACCGTTTTTGACAAACGCAGTGAAGAATATCACCGCGTTGAATAAACACAGTGAATATTTCACCGTTTAAAATAAAAACGGTGACGTATTCACCGTCTTCATCTAAAACGGTGATATATTCACCGCGTTTGATCAGAACGGTGATTATATCACCGTTTTAGTTAAAGACGGTGAACACATTCACCGTTTTAGGGTAAAACGGTGATCTTTTCCCAAGTTTCCCACCCCTGGTAGGTCAAAATTAGGTCACAGCTACCTATTATTCATCGTTTGAGACAAACGCGGTGATGGTGTTCACCGTGTTCGACAAAAACGATGAATAGTTGGCAGATTTTGTTATAAATACCACACCACCAGCAGTTGTAAAAACATAACCACCCCCCCTTCTTCAAATTTCAGCAACCAAAATCGAGCATAATACACAGAACAGGAATTTTCGGTATGTTGAGAATTTTCGTATTATAGTCTAATGATGTTTTTAGTAGTTATAGTATGATTTAATTTTCGTATTATAGCCTAATGATGTTTTTATTAGTTATATTGTTATGTTATGAATTACTTATCGTAGCAAATATGTTTTCTTAGTTAGGGAATTTATGTTGTTGTTAGTTAGTTGAATTTATGTTGCGTTAGTTATGAGATGGATAATATTAGTTGTACAATATGATTTTGGTTAATTTTATTGTCTTTAAGCTAATAGATACTTATTGTAAATTGTAGATATGGGTAAATTCAAGAAGTTTCGGCTTATTATTCGGTGGAATGGAAGGGTGACAAACTCTGACATAGGCATTGATTATGAGGACGGCGATTCCACTATGCTGAAAATTGAGTCGCGATTCAATTTTCAAGAACTCTGTGATATTTGTGCAGAACGGGTTTGTACGAGCGGACAAACGAGACTTGGCAAAATTACTTACCGGTATCCAGACATGAGTGCTGGCGGGGTCATGTACCAAGAAGTTGTCATAAACGATGATGACGCGGTTACGATGATGTTACAGTTCCTAAGCGATAACCCAGTGCGGCTTGCAGAGGTGTATGTTGAGACCGAGGCGGTCGGTGAATCTCATTCTCACCTAGGGGTGGGAAACGGTGCGGTTGCGGTTAACTGCACCGCAATTTGCGGTTAACTGCAACCGCAAAACACCCATATTGGCCAACCGCGACTGCGACCGCAACGGTTAGCGGTTAACCAAAAACCGCAAAACGCGATTTATGGTTGTGAAAACCGCAACAACCGAAACACCATATGAAACCGCAGTTAGCACTCTAACCGACAATTAACCGCGAACTAACCGCAAAAAAATCATGGAAAAAAAAACATAGCAGCTACTGTTTTGTCGCAGGGGAACGCCGGACGGCCAGGGACGGCGGCGACCGGATGGCAAAGGCGCAGCGGGAAGATGAAGGGTCGAAGCTCCGAAGGGTTTTGGACTTTTGGTTTTCAGACTTCAGTTTCCGGTGGGAACTGGGAAGGGACGAAACGAAACGAATTAAGTCAATTAACGAAGGGTTTTGATTTTTGTTTCTTCAAAGTTCAAATCATAAGTCACTCAAAACGATTAAACGACGGCGTCGGCAGGGAGAAGTGGGGAGGGCCGGGTCGGGTTTGGGGGTTTGGGCTGCTGCCTGCTGGCCAGGCTGGGCTGGGGTCAATTATGGGCTGGGCTGGGGGTGAATTATGGGCTGGGTTTGGTTTCGCGGTTAGCTATGCGGTTATATGGATTTGCGGTTTCGGTTGCGGTTAAACCGCAAACCGCAAAACAGGCCATATCTCCAACCGCGACCGCAAAATAGGCCAAATATGCGGTTTGCGGTTAACCAATAACCGCGCGGTTTCGGTGCGGTTGTCGGTTTAACCGCAAACCGCCAACCGTTTTCCCAGCCCTATTCTCACCAGTATTCTTATGATGATGGTTTTGCAAGAGGGTACGGATGGGGTGGTAGTTCGAGCAACTACGAAGACGGTGGTTATACAGGAGGTTACGGAGAGGGTGGTAGTTCAAGCAACTACGGTGGAGGTAGTAGTGCAGGATGGGTGCCATCGGAAGAATACTCGCAACCTGATCAACCAGCCCCATTTGTTGAGGCCGATGGTATTCAATGGCCCGCTTGGGGGCCAGAGTGGTCTGAAATCGAGAATGCCATTCGATCAGGGCGTACTTCACATGAGCGAGAAGACGATGTTGGTGATCGTGGTCATGTTGATCCTTCTGGCCCGAGCTATCCATTCGAGTCGAGCGACGAGGATACTGAGGAATATTTGAGATCAGTGAGCGAGGAGGAGGAGGAAGATACTGATGATAACGAGGATGAGGCGGCATTTCGTGAGACACCCACGCCATATTACACACAGGTTCCAACTCAATTTTTACATAGTCAGAATGATGCCCCCGACTTTGTCAGAATGATGCCCCCAATTTTTACATAAGCATATAATAAATTAAATTAGTCTAAGTACGGAATAAAATTAAATTAAATCTAGCTAAGCATATAATAAATTAAATTAGTCTAAGTACGGAATAAATTCAATTTAAATCTAGCTAAGCATGTAATAAAATTTAAATTGGGCTAAGTACGGAATAAACTTACTTGACACCGTAGGGGGGATTTTGCAGAAAGTTTAGCTCATTATCGTTTCTCCGGTATGGACGTGGGTCGAGAGGTGCAAACATTGGAAGATGCTCTCATACCCACAGTTGTAGGATGAACATCGCAGCACCAGCTTGCTTTGCTCCCACTTTCGAGCAAGTACACAGCTCCCGGTACACGCCCGTTAGCACGGCCAATCCCCAACTCTTTTCCCCGATTGCATCCCAGTCACCAGTGAGCAATTCCAACCATATGCCTTGAATCCACCGGTTGGACTTGTCGGGGAACAGAAATCCACCCATCAAACCAATGAGGTAGATGCGAGCGTAGCGCTCCACTTGTTCTTCCGGAGTCTCGTCATTGATTTCCACCTCAGCCTGGATATGAGTTACAAGCCACGGGACCGACACTTGACCCGCATTCAACGGTGGATGCCCCCGTCCTTGAATTGGTGTGGTGGTCGGCATGTCAAAGCCCAAACGATCACGAATGAGCGGCCCCCAACCTCCTTCGAGTTTGGTAGTGGAACCAATGATGGCATCTCCAGAAATAGGAAGCCCGGTGAGGATCGCCACGTCTTTGAGGGTGATCGTCATTTCCCCCTCCGCAAGGTGGAACGTATGGGTTTCGGGACGCCATCGCTCCGCCATTGCCGTAAGCAGATCGTTGTCGATTTCGATACGCATGAAATGGCGCAACATTCCCAAACCGGTCCTCTCTATATAAGGCGCCAACCTTGGATGCCAAGCGGGCAAGTTCGTGGTCCCTTTATGAACCACGGGAACAAGTGATTCCTACAAAAAATAGGAAAAACATCAATTTATTAGATTAAATAAAGCAAAATAAAACCTTAGAAAATAATAAAATAAAGCAAATAAATCATCAAATTACCGAATTGTTATCCCAAATAGCACGGGAGCGATGAGCTTCTTGATCGGTTAAGAGACTCATATCTCTTGGCCCATAATGGATATACAATCGAGGATCGTATATCTCGGCACCCATCTATAAAAAAAGTAATGAAATCAGATATTGTTTTGATAAAAAAATAATCACAAAATCAAATTGTTTCGATTAAAAATTAAAACACAAAAAAAAAACCTACACGAAGAGCCTCTTTGTCCATTTTTTGGCAGAAGCCGGACAGAGGTTCGACGGGTTCGGGTTTGTAAGGGATGTGAGCTTAGCGGGACGGGGGCTTTAGGGTCAAACTTTAGTAATTCTTTCTGATGTGGAAGATCGGACTTAGCCGCAACCACAGAGCATACTTAGAACGAGACTAGAGCGGATAAATTGAGGGAGAAAGAAGTGAAATGGTTGTGGTGTGAGTTGTAAGTGGGGAGAAGGGTCTATTTATAGTTTGGGGAAGGGATCAGCCGAATTAATTCTGGGAGGCATTCACCGCCTCTGTCAGAAACGGTGAAGGCATCGCGTTTCTCGAGGACGGTGAAAGGGCGCGGATCGAGCGACGTGGCTTAGCGTGAGGCATCGGATCTGGAAAGAAACCATGATCCGCGCCTCACCGCATCCGACGGCCACGGTGAACGCGTCAGCGACGCGGATCGCTGACGCAAACAAACACGGGGTATTCACCGTGTTTGTTTAACGCGGTGAATACCCCGCGTTTGTCCACGTCAGCGATCCGCTTCGCTTCATCGTGGCCAATCAACGCGGTTTAAATGTCACCGCTTTTAATTAAAACGGTGATTGATTCACCGTGTCCGTCTAAAACGGTGATTGTCTCGTTGGTTGTTCACCGTTTTAGATGAAGACGGTGAATACGTCACCATTTTTATTTTAAACGGTGAACAATTCACCGTCTTTGTCAAACGCGGTGATATTCTTCACTGCGTTTGTCAAAAACGGTGAATGCCAAACATGTGTATTTTGGGGAAAAAATTTATAACTTATGTATTTTGGAAATTTTTTTAAGAACATAATCTAGCTCTCAAAATGAGTGATTGTTATACCTTAGTTTTTAGCTGATATTGTTGAGAGAGTTGGATTGAGATTTGTTGATATTTTTTTCAAAACTTAATTCACAATCGGAACATGGTTTATAATGCATCAAAATTATAATACATATTCACCTTGACGGGTATCTTCACGGCTCTTCTAAGTTCCAAGGGCCAAAATGCCAACAATCATTTTCATGTCAAGCTAGGCTTATAACAACAGATCAGAAAGGCAACTCGAGCCAAAATATTAAGACAAGACACAAGATGGGAGCAACATAGGATTCACAGCTCCCTACGGGAATCGGCTTCTTGCTCTCCCTGAAGCCAGCAGCGCAATTAGCACTTTCAGAAAAATTCAATTGGCACTTCGAGGCAGAAATGAGCCGCCGCGGAGGAAGGGGAAAGAGCAAATACCCTTCTTCCTCTGTTCCATGGGAAAGAGCGATCAATCTCTGCTTTGCCACCATCCGCCGGAGATAAACTAATTACTTCCATCAGTGAAACTGAAACTCCATCGTCCGAGAGAGACGTGAACACGATCAGGGCTTCCACAGTTTCATGGTGCAGTCAACACTGTGAGTAGCAATAAGATTCCTGTGGGGGTGGTGAGTCACGCCAATCACTTCCTTCTCGTGAACCTAGACAGTCAAAGGACAATGCATGTACCCAAAACAGTTAACGTACTGAGATTCCTACGGAACCAGTTCAGAAAACCAGCTTTCCTTGTAGTAACTGAATCAACAGAATGAACATTGGATTTAGGGGATGCGTTTGGAGAATGGGATTTGGAGTATGGATTCAGAAAATTCATAGATTCAACAAAAAGTCCTTTTTTTCCTTCTTGTTTTTGGCTTTCTTTATCATCAAACTTTCTGAAGAGTTAAAATCTAGAGATAGTCTCTGCTTCTCCAAACGACCCTCAATTCTGGACCATTTTGGAAGACTTTAAAGTTCAGTACTGAAATCTACATCTAAAATGATCAAGGTACTAAGTTGTAATTTTGGGGATCAAAACATCAACCTAGCCCTTTACCCAATGGATCTAGGTCATATAGGGTTGAGTTAGTTGGGTGTTAAGTGGGTCAGGTTGGGTTGGTATTTGCTACCTACATTGGCATCTTTCAATGATACCTCAAGTTGCTTTCAATAGATAATACAAGCCATACCCAAGAATTGAAAACTGACCTTCATTAGATGCTCTAATTTACCGGATTGGTAGCTGAAGCAATAGATATTCCTGCATTAACAAAATTGGCACAGAATCATCAATTAGGATTTAAGACCAGCAGCAACAGTCCACAGCTGAAAGAAACCATTGTATCCGGCTATCTGCTAGTTGTCTGTCATTGTCAGCCACTAAGGTCTAAGTTATAAACCTAGGTGGCTAGATGTCACGAGGCCACAATTAAGCAAAACCCATTTTCCTTACCCAATCATTTCATTTTTGATTAAGACCGCAGCAAGACCTGAGAACCATTTGAGGTGGTCAAGTAATTACCTGTCTTCACCAACACAGTAGATCCAATCCCCTTTAGGTGAAACACAGGCCGCTACAAAATCTCCACCTTCTCTTTTACCAGATGAGAGACTCTTCACAACCTATGCTTTTCATGGAAGAAACATTTTAAGTCAAAATCATATTTCCTTCCTGGTTACTGGTTGAAGAAGAAAGCTTTTGTTATCACCTGTCCTTGTAGGGTCATTATACATATTGATGATGTCTTGTTACATACAACAATGTGATCAGTGTTTTTGGGGAAGAGATGGACAGAGTTCACAGATGCATCACCCCCCTACAGTCCAGGAGAAAGGATCAATTATTCAATGATGGAGCAAGATGAGAAGCTAAAGAATAAGACTTGAGAATACATATTGTATCAGGAAGCAATACCCTCAATGGAGGCGGCGGCCTAAATGTGTGTATACACTCTGCGCCCTTTACATCCCAAACCTACAACAGGACTTTTTTTTGTCAAGCAACCCAAATAAGAGCAAAAATATAAGAATTGGGGAAAATGTCGCAAATCAATATACCTTGACTGTACAATCACTTGATGCAGTAATGACACGTGTCCCATCACTCGTGAAGATGGCATGGTTTACAATAGAAGAATGACCGCGGAACTCTTTTAACATTTTCCCAGATTTTAGGCCATGGATCCTTCATGAAACACAATACAAAGGAACATAAGAATCTCAACCAAAGGAAATTCAATTGACTACTAAATTACATGATATGAACAACATTGTCGTAGTTCAATGAACCTGGCTGTGTTATCAAAGGAGGTACTTAGTAACTGAGTACCATCACGTGAAAATGTCAAACTTGTTACACCCTGAGAGTGTGCACGTTCAAGGCGGCGTAAACACTGCCCAGTCCTTATACGCCAAACCTGCCAAAAGAGTTGAGCAAAATTTATCGAAGTAGAAGACTGCTTGGCTAATTAACACCACGGTTGTCAATTGTCATCACTCATCAGAGTAATTTATCCCAAGAAACTCAGACTAAACAAAAGAAGTGATAGACATTATGTGTGTGTGCTTGCAGAAAGCAGTAGCATAATCCAGGACTCATAGATATCTACATAACACTGAAGGAATAGAAACGCTGAATATTTTTCTTAAGAGTAAAAAACCAATGAAGTTTATCATCATTCAAGCATAAATGACTGAAACTTACTTTAACTTTCCCATCTTGTGAACCAGAAGCAAGCATCTCAGAATCTCGGCTAAAATCTACACACAGGACAGAGTCATCGTGCATCATAAAGGTTTCCTGTAAAAATAATTATATTCATAAGTAACTGCAAGACATAAAAAGTAACTATTCTTGCGTGAAATTTTTAAGTTTTCCTAAAAAGAACGAGCACAGTACATACAGCACCACGCCAGATTTCAATACTTTGTTAGTTTCACTACCTATATTGATGCAGCTGTTGCTGTTAAAGATAACTCAGGCAACAGCAAAACATCAATCTACAAGATATCCCAGGAACATACACAGAGCCAGCCGAGGATTCTCAAAGAACAACAAGAAGGACAAACACAACAAACAGGTATACGAGGAAGAAGTAGAGTCACCACCATTCATATGCAGTTACCCATACTGACAAGAAACAGAGTGTCTTTTAAGCAACTGATCAATCAACATGAACTACAGAAACAAGACCCATGTTTCTTCTACAAAGACAATTTTAGAATTTTAATCAAAGCACAATGGACAGTGCACTCACATCAGCCTGGTATTGAAGATCCTTCTTGAGCTTTCCGCTCATATAGTCCCACACCTTATGAAACCAGTGGAAAAAACAAGATCAATATCTTGCATCATTCATCCCCCTCAGTATGGTTGCTTGAACAACAAAAGAACATACCTCAATAAAGCCATCAACAGAGCATGAGACAAGGAACTGGCCATCAGGCGAAAACCGAGCACATTCTGCATGACTTTTTGTTCCAAACTGTAGCATGAGATTGCAGGTGTAAGAAAACTTGAATTATTAAGCAGTAAATAACGGCGAGAAGTAACAACTACACTAAATATGCCAAACTTTCACTGCCAGGAAGAAATGACCTTTTACGAGAAGCAGATCTCTAGCAAAAGCATATCAAAGATTTTTCGCCAGCCTGCCAAAGTTGGCTGCTACAACTAAAAAATAATTCGGAACAGCTATCCGAATCGATCATTGTTTCAACACAAGGAAAATTCTAATTTAAAAACTATGGACTATCTTTCAGTATGACTAACGTAGACAACGGGTTATATGTTACTAGTTATGCTTGGAAAATCACAAAATTGGATTGCATGAGCTCCAAGAAATACATTTATGTAACCGAGTCTCTTCTACAAAGAGAGAAAATGTACACTAAAGAGAAATAAGTACCAATATAGTTGAATTAAAATTCAAAACAAATGAACAAATGAACTGCACAATGGCATGGACGCCAACCTTAATAGTGTGTGAAAGCGTTGTTGGATAAATATCATCTGCATCTTGCTTCATAGCAGCCGTACCTCGAAATAGGTCAAACTGTGTCCCAGGTGGAAGTAACCCTGAAAATATAAAGTAAAAGCGTTCAAAAAGAAATAGGCACCCATAGCTGACAACAAGAATGGCAACTTACGACCAAGCAGCTGCTGACTTTATTGAATCAACAAACAACCAGTAGGAAAGCTCTTTCCAAATTTGCCCAAACATATGAATTGGTCATCAAAATGAACATGTACAATACCAGAGGAAAAATTAGAATAAATGATTATGTGTTGACCAAGTATTTGTAAAACCACATAGATTGTATCGGCGTAGTAAACTCCCAATCTCCAAAGGCATATATTATGAGGTTGCTCTAAGCAGATAGATACCTTGGTGCTGTTGCCACTTTAGTGCCTGCGCAATTAGAGCCATTAATCTTGAGGGTGGAACCACACCAACTTCGGCAGCAATCGCTGAAAAGAAAAAAACACAAATAAAACTGCAAGCATTAAGAGAGGATCAATGAAGATATCCAAAGCATGTAACTGAGTAATCTTCAAAGAGAAAACAATACTAGGAGACCAACTGTATAATTCACTTGCCCTGCAAAAATTTGAGAAGGTTGTATGACACTAAAAGGAACTTAAATCGACAAATAAACATAATCGATCCTTGGAGTTTGCTCTTAAGAACTTCTCTTGTTTCAACAAATTCCATAGAGCTTTTATCTTAGGCCACACTGTAAACTGATATTTTCGCATACACAAGCAGGGACCAAAAAAGGCGTCACCATTGAAGACCAGGTGCCACTCGCTAGATTGCACGAAGACGAGAAAATAGTGAGAAGATCCCCTCCATTACGTTGAAAACTGTGTTGAAAAAAGAAGAGAAATACCTTGGGCAATTTGCGCACGGCGCTTCTCTTTTGTTGAATCTTGGTAAGCCTGTCATGAAATAGGTACCAAATCTTAGCAAAAGGACTACCTTGGTTCACAGAGTTCAAAATGCACAGAGAGCTAAAACTCAGAAATCACACAACAGGGAACCAGTTTCAGGGCTCCGTTATTGAAGGTAACCACCATATAGGTTTTCCGAGTTAAAAGGGAAGGGAGAAGCAGTGGAAGGAAGAGAAAGCTTGGAACCAACGCATTCTGACCTCATTGGGATCAAAGTAAGTTCTGACTAGGAGATGCTCAAGTCGCAAATATCTTTCAGGTTGTTCCTGTTTCATGACTCCCATGACCTGAGTTTGCCTTAATATGGCTCTTGCAGTGTCTAACTCTCGAAGCTCTATCATCTCTAACACAATCTGCAAGGTTAAACAGATTACAAAACAACTATGAAAAGGAACAAACTTTGATGCATTTAAGCAATCATCAAATGCCAACGCCCATAGACCCAAAAAGGTATTCTACAGTGGCACTTGCTGAAAGATAATATGGATCAAATCTCGTAACGAAGGCCACTAGCACAGACAATTTGCAATTCCAAATAGCTTCGTCAACAAACAAAATGGCACCTAGCAGAAGTAAAATTCAAATTGAATGGAATCTAGAAGATTACCTGCTCGTACAGGTCCTCTAATTTGTTCCTGGGAAGCTTTAGCTGAGCCACCTGAGGCAATATGGCGTCCCACCTTCCGCCATTGATATCAGCGACAAATGTCTCTGTGCTGTCCACTGTATTCAGCGAAACTTGGCACTCCGTCTGCAGTGTCTGGAAAGTCTGGTGAAGCGAATTCTCTTTGCAGAATTGAAGTACAATCTTGATCACACTGGCAATTTGGAGAGGGAAAAGGTGAAAAAACAGGTTAAGAAACTGAACCGAACAGAACGCAAGAATGGTGAAGCGACCTAGTCGCACACCAGTGGATGCGGGTTGTCGATAAAGAGGGCACTTACTCTCGAGCTTCGATTTCCAGAGTCATCTTGTGATTGAATCAAACGGGCAGTGGTCTGTGGAAGCGACAAGAGGTGTTTTAGGGTTTAAGAAATCTATGCCCAGCGGAGATAAAATCTTCTCAGGAGAGTAATCTCCAATGAGCACTAATTTATTATTGGTCATTGAAGTTTTCTATATGTACCGCAATGAGCACTAAACTTACTATTTTAAGCACTTAAAGCCACGAGGCCGGATCGCATGACTAAGGAAATGCTTAGTCACTTGACTAAGTCACTCTCAGTAGGGGTGGCTATACGGTCCGGTCCGGTTAAATTGGACCAAATTGATCCGGTCCAGTCCGGTCTTTTTGAAGATATAAGGACCGAAGATTGGATTGGATACAGTCCGGTCTTGATCCGGTCCGGTTTTGATCCGGTCCGGTCCCAATTCGGTCTTGATTTTATATTGAGATTGTGGGATTTGAGTGGCCTAAGGCCTTAAAGGGTGATGAGTTGGTTAAGTTTTGTACTAAGTGCAAAGGTTTGTGACCGTTTATGCAAATTACCCTTAAGTTTTGGGTGTTGAGCTCTCTTATCCGGTCTTTATCCGGTTTTTTACCTCAAATCTAAGCCCAAAGATTGGATTGGATTGTTTACTATCCGGTTCCGGTCCGGTCTCGGTCCGGGTTATACGGTCCGGTTTCCGGTTTTTAATCCGGTCCCGGTCCAAATAGCCACCCCTAACTCTCAGCATTTAGATTTTGACACACCAATCTGATGGTTAAAAAGTGGGAATGACTTTTTAATTACTGACGGGCAGTTTAAGTATTATAAAAAATTACGAAGTATACAAAACTGACTTAGAAACAGTACAAACTAAAACAAACAATACAAAACATACGAACTATACAAACAATACAAAGTAAACCGACAAATAATACAAACCATAAAAAAAACAACCAGGTTGACATTAGAGGCTCCATCCCTATATAGAGAGACACCATCCAAAAGACAACCCAATTGTTTTTGAGACATACAAACATGGTGGACAAAAAAATACAAAGTAGATCGACAAACCATACAAAATGAAAAAACACCCGAGTTGACTTTGGAGGCTCCATCTCAATATAGAGGACTTCCGTCCAAAAGTCAATCAGGTTGTTTTTTAGACATAAAAAATATTACAAACATGGTTAACAAAAATGACAAACATGGTGGACAAAAATAACAAACCTTACAAACATTATAAAAGAAACTAACAAATATTACAAAAATAACAAAGATTACAAACATTACAGAATAAACCGACAAACATTACTAAGCATACTAACAGTACAAAATAACACTTACTTACAATACAAATTGGTAAAATTGTATTACAAATCAATGAATACAAAGTATACAAATCATAACATAATGTATACAAACTAGACTAACTAATATTATAAATCAAAGTATATACAAACTAGTCATATAAACATAACAAACACAATAAACAAAAATAACATATTAGAATGATAAATTATACAAATCGAATTGATATAAACATTACAAACTGTACTTAAACCCCCTTTTTAAGGAGGATCTTAAAGCATTGTGATTGGCTATTGTAGTTTTAAGTAGTTAGTGAGGAGTTATTAGTTAATTAGTTGTTAGGAGTATTTAGGGAATTATAAATAATATTAAAAATTAAATAATTAAACCTACTAATTTTTAAACCCAATGTCCCTACTCAAATAATTAACCCTACTAATCTCCAAACTCATGTTCCCTCTCAACGTTTTCTTCAATCACTTTTCTCTGCCGTTCCTTCGATTCCCGGTAGCGATCTCCATCGTCCGCTCCTTAACTTCCGTCTCGCCCTCAACTGTCCCCAGCTTGTCGTCGAGTTACCTCAGCAACCGAGCCAACTAGTTCTCTCTGTCCGTAGAGCCGTCGGTTCGGCTTCCGGCATCGCTCTATCATTCCTGTCGTTTGACGTCGTTGTCCTTCAACAGTGGCCCGCACAGATCGTCGGCTGGTTCTGTCAATAGCGGTGACCGGGTGTTGCTCCCTTCAGGCGTCGATCCCGTCGTCTTCGGCTTATTTGTATCAGAATGTTATGTTCGTACAATTTTGTGTTTTGTACTTTAGGGTTTTTCCTTGACTACATGGAATTAGGGGATTTTTTGTTGCATGGGTGTTGGATTTTTGTTGATAGATGATTGTTTGTTGTACTGTGAATGTTATCCGATCAGTTTTTTAATTATGTTATGTTGCATTATTAACTTTGTTATGGTTCCTTTGTAATTGTTTAATCAATTTGTTGGTAATTAGAATTAATTCACTAAGAAGTAAACTATCAATTTAGTTTATAATGATTCTTGATATTTTGAAGTGTTATCGTCAATCGTGCAGGATTTGAAGAGCATGTGCTATTATTATCGATCTTTGTTCATTATGAACGTTTCTTCGTCCATTAGTAATATTTTTAAAGTCATGTTCGATTTTTTTGATAGTGTGATATCATTAATTTGTTGGCTGAATTAACGTGTAGTATTAACAATCTTTGTTCATTATTAACGTTTCTTCACCCACTAGTAATATGTTCGGCGTCATTACTCATAATCAATTTTTTAGTGATGTGCTAATATTAATCTGTCGGCTGAGATCGCGTATACTATTATTAATCTATGACTGTCAGCAGAGGAATTTTACAATACTATATAGTATTGGTGCTATAGGTTTTTGCTTTTATGGTACAACTTGAAGTTGTACCTTTAACGTTATGGCACAACTTTAAATTGTACCTATACTCTTTTGTACAAATTATTTATGGTACAACTTGAACTTGTACATTTATGTAATGGTACAACTTTAAATTGTAAAATTGTACCATAACATAAGGGTACAAATTCTTTTATGGTACAACCTGAACTTATACATTTAACATTATGGTATAACTTCAAGTTGTATATTAAAGCACCAATACTTTATAGCATAGTAGAAGTGCTCGTGTCAGCATTATTAATAGTGTGGTATAATTAATCTATCATTCTATCTGCTTAATTAACTTGTAGTGTTATCAATCTGTTTCCATTTTTAACGTTTTCTCACCTATTATTAATATTTTCAACGTGATTATTAAGTTTTTTAGTCATGTTATATTACCAATCTGTGTTCATTACTAATGTATTGTTACCCATTATTAACATTTTAAGGTCATTATCAAAGACTTTCAATGACATTATCAATTTTTAACGTATCTTGCCCCTCCAAGTTTTCATCACAAGGTATTTCATTCAAATTTTCAGTGTTTAGTATATATCGTTATCAACAAAGTCATCAACATTTTATAGTAACGATCGTTAAAAATTAAAACCACGTCGTCACACACAAAAAGCTATGACAATATTCATTTTATTACCCGACCACCACAATATAATTAATATTTTTATTTGTGTCAATATTTCGGTACTGTTATTAACAAATGGGTTAGTACCTTATTATGGCCTGAACTATGACCATGTAATCAACTTTGGTCCGTGGTTTGAGAGATTAACATCCTGGCCCGAACTATGCAGCATATAGACAGAATTGGCCTGGAGCGTGGTTTGACCATTTGTTTGGACCATGTCAGCAAAAAAAAAAAATTATAATTTCATTTTTCTTTTTATTTCCTTTATAAAATTGAATAATAAAGAGAAATAATAATAAAAAATTTGGCCACCCATCCCCACCTTATCCCCTCGCCTTCTTTCCTTTTCGATCAGATCCCAAAAAACCCTAACCATTATTCTTCTTCCTCCTTCTTCCCGACAACCCGCCGCCTCCATTCTCTCCGATTCAAATGCAACGGCGGCCGGTCGTTTAAAGACGCCGCCGCCGCCGTCGCACGCTTTGATCAGGACCCAAACATGGGCACCCATCCCAACCTTATCCCCTCGCCTTCTTTCCTTTTCGATCAGAACCCAAAAAATCCTAACCATTATTCTGCTTCCTCCTTCTTCCCCGACAACCCGCCGCCTCCATTCTCTCCGATTCAAATGCAGCGGCGGCTGGTTGTTTAAAGCGACGACGTCGCACGCTTTGAAGATTGAATCCCTACCTAGAACCCTCACCCGTTTTTCGCGCGCCATCCATCCACTATTCTCTCGTCGACAGCAAAATTACCCATTTTATCTCCCCTTCCCCACCATCGATTTCTGCCGATTTCTGTCTAGACCAAGCCTTCCCCAACCTTCCCCACCCATCGCGCTCTGTCCATTTCTTTGTAGGCCAACCCTTCCCCACCAATCGCTATTTTCTGTAAAAGGCGAAGAAAGTGAGGTTCCAGGGACAACTGTAGCAAGGGACCACTTTGACAAAGTCTTGTTGTTATTCAGATAAGGTAAGCAATCACTATCCCTCATAATAATATTCTGAATACGTCCAAGAAATCGGTTTTGGTCATATGTGGATTGATGCATAGTGGACATTAAACAATAATAGTTTATTTGTCTTTGTCGGCTTAGTGAATTTAGCGATTTGTCTTTGTCGGCTTAGTGAAGTTGGCTTAGAAAAGTGTGTTTTCGATTTGTTTATGTGTAGCATGGAAGACCCAATTGAGCTCATTTTATGCCATGGAGGATATATGGATATGACAGGGGCTGTTCCAAAGTACGTTAGAGGTAATGAAGCTGTGGTGACTATGGTTGTCGATGAATGAATGGAATGAATGAAAGAATGAAATCACTGAATGTGTATGAACGTGTAGGCCCCCATGTTGGTTCGAGTAGTAGAAGGGTAACTGTCTAACTGGTCGTGAAATGAGAAGGGTGATGCAAGGTATTGGAACATACATTGACATGGAGACTGGAAACATGTATGCAAGGTATGTAACAGAGTTTTGCAGCTTAGTGACAGAGTATTGTTTGTTGTGAACTCTATTCCTAATATGAAGACCCTACTATTTTGCAGCTTAGTCACAGAGTGCCACCACCTGGTGGTGTACGAGCAACAGAACCGGACCAGCCTCCTGTCAATACCACACAACCTCCCACTACTCAACCATAGTCGTCTTAGGAAGTCAGAAGATGCTATGTTAGGAAGTAGATGCTATGTCAGGAAGTAGATGCTTTGTTAGGAAGTATATATCTATGTCAAATAGTAGATAAGACTCCTGTTTTGTGCGTGCTATGTGCAGTTACGGATCATTGTGATTCATTGGAGTGTAGGAAGAAATATGTAAAGCAGGTCCAAAGTTAGGATTCCCCCTTTTGTACATGGTCTGGAAATGAACCTTGTCCTAAACTAAGGTATTTTCCCTTTTGTAAATGGTCTAGACATGTTTGAATGATCAAACAGGTTATGTTTATGAATGAATGAATGAAGTTGTATATGTTTGTCTCAGTTATGCTTCAATGAAAGAACATGATAATAGGAAGGAAATAAGGCATCATAATGGAGCAGCTCTTTGATTTCATCGGTGTTGAAATTATAAAATAAAGTTTAATTAAAAAAACAACAAAAATATCAGAGAAGTCTAGAAATGGTTCCTGTCTGCATTGTGTGGAAGGTTGTAGAGGGTGGCTGAATGATTGTGATTAAAATAATGAAAAAAATGGAGACCACTAGAGGATGCAGATTTTTGTGGTAGGTTAGAGAATTTGAAGCCTATAAATAGGCTCATTTGGAGCCGTGTATGATGTAGAGCCAAAAGAGAGAAAGAAGCAAATAAAAAAGAGTTTCCATTCCCTTCTCCAATCCAAGTCCTCTGCCAATCCACTTCTCCCAAAACAAAATAAAACCTTTCCCATTTCAAAGCTCAATAAACGAGCTAACCCCACCAAAAGCCCACCTTTAGTTTTTCAAATCAAAAGGAAATAAATCATTTTATTTCCAACAAAGTGGTATCAAAGCCCGAGTTATTCTTAAGTATGCTCTGTGGTTGCAGCCTAGTCTGAACTTCCACATCAGAAAAGAATTTCTCGTGTTTTTGTTATCACGATTGTCCCATGGCCGAAAAATCAAGTTTCCCCATTCAATTCCCCCACCTTACTAAAACTAATTACAAAAATTGGTGCATCCGTATGAGAGCCTTGTTGGGATCCCAAGATGCTTGGGATATTGTTGAGAAAGGTTACGAGATTCCTGCGGAGGATTCTCGGTTAACTCCTGCTGAAAAGGAGGTATTGAGAAAAAATAAAAAGATTGATCAAAAGGCACTCACTCTAATTCATCAATGTCTTGATGAATCCATGTTCGATCAAATAGCAGATGCTACCACGGCTAAGGAAGCATGGGAGATTTTGCAAAAGGACATGCAAGGTGTGGAACCAGTAAAGAAGGTTCGACTTCAGACACTCAGGGGAGATTCAAAGCAATGAAAATGAAGGAAGGTGAATCTGTTTCAGATTACACCGCCCGTGTGAAGTCTATCGCCAGCAAACTGAAGCAGTATGGGGAGAAAATTGAAGAGACCAAAGTGGTGGAGAAAATTCTACGATCATTATTACCGAAGTTCGATTACGTGGTGGTGGCCATGGAGGAAGCTAAGGATGTGTCAAAAATGACGGTGGATGAAGTCATCGGCTCACTGCAAGCCAGAGAGGAAAGGCTAAATAAAAGAAATGAAGAATCGTCAGAACAAGTGTTAGCTACAAAAGCTACCACTGAGGAGAAAGAAGGCGCACGAGGAGGAGGTTACAACAGAGGTCGAGGCAGAGGCAACTACAGAGACAGAGGAAGAGGAAGAGCCCGAGGAACATATCAAAGCAGAGACGGAGGAAATTTCACCACAAACAATTATGAAACGTCCACCAGAGGCAGAGGTCGTGGTCGTGGACGTGGAAGAGGAAGTTGGAGATCAAATGAAGGTCGTGATAAATCCAACGTCCAGTGCTATAATTGCTCGAAGTACGGGCATTATGCATCGGAATGTTGGAGCTCGCCTAAAGAAATGAAGGAGACAGCGAACAATGTGCGAGAAGAAGAAGTCAAAGGCACATTGATGCTGTCACATCAAGGAGATGAAAAACTGAGAGATAATATGTGGTATCTGGATAATGCAGCAAGCAACCACATGTGCGGTAAAAGAAGCATGTTTGTGGATATGGATGAATCAGTAAAAGGAAATGTCGTATTTGGAGACTCCTCGAAGGTTCCTATCAAAGGCAGAGGAACTATACTCATCCAGCTCAAGAATGGCTCACAGCAATCTATCAGTGATGTGTACTATGTCCCAGACATGACAAGTAACATCCTGAGTTTGGGTCAATTGATGGAGAAGAATTATGAAGTCCATATGGTGAATCGTCAATTGGAGCTGTTAAACGAGAAGAAGCAGTTGTTGGCCAGAGTCCCAATGTCGAGAAACAGAATGTTCACCCTAAACATTCAAACAGAAATGGCAAAGTGTCTAAAAGCATGTGTGAAAGACACAACATGGCTGTGGCATCTGAGGTATGGCCATCTAAATTTTGGAGGCCTAAAGTTACTGGGTCAGAAGAAGATGGTGAATGGTCTGCCAGTAATCAATCATCCAGACCAGTTGTGTGAAGGATGCTTAGTTGGGAAGCAATTCAGGGCAAGTTTCCCGAAGGAGTCCCTGTCACGAGCTAAAGCACCACTTGAGCTCGTCCATGCAGATCTCTGTGGATCGATCACTCCAACATCGTTCGGGAAGAACAAATACTTCCTATTGTTCATCGATGACTACAGTAGAAAGACATGGGTATACTTTTTGAAGCAGAAGTCAGACACATTTGAAGCTTTCAAGAAGTTCAAGATGCTCGTGGAGAATGAAAGTGGCCGCTACATCAAAGCTATGAGATCAGATAGAGGTGGAGAATTTATGCTCAAGAAGTTCAGAAAGTTCTGTGAATATCAAGGAATTCGCAGGTTTCTCACGGTTCCAAGATCCCCACAGCAAAATAGAGTTGTTGAAAGGAAGAATCGAACTGTACTCAACATGGCGAGAAGCATGATGAAAAGCAAGAACCTACCAAAGGAGCTATGGGCTGAAGCTGTTGATTGTGCAGTCTACTTTCTGAACAGGTCACCAACAAAGAGTGTTTGGAATCAAACACCCCAAGAAGCATGGAGCGGAAGAAAACCCACAGTCTCTCACCTCCGAGTCTTCGGAAGTGTCGGATATGTGCACGTACCGGATCAAGAAAGGAAGAAGTTGGATGACAAAAGCAAGAAGTACATATTCCTGGGGTACTCAGAAAACTCAAAAGGTTACAAGATGTTTGATCCTGTGGAAGAGAAGCTGATCATCAGCAGAGACGTGGTGGTTGATGAAAAAGCAACATGGGACTGGACTGTTGAAGCAAAGAAAAATTACACTTTTTATCCATTCACTATGGATGAAAGTGACGATGAACCAGATACAGCTACACCAGTGACAAGTCCACCCAGTCACAGAGAGCCTGCTAGCCCAGAAGGAGAATCGAGTGAAAGTACGAAAGAAAGGCCACAGAAGTATAGAAGACTTGAAGAAATTTATGAGGAAACGACAACCATTGAAGGTGATGAATTGACACTGTACTGTCATTTCATTAATAGTGAACCAGTGGATGTTGAAGAAACCATGAAGGATGAAAAATGGAAGAAAGCCATGGATGAAAAAATTGGAGCAATTGCGAAGAACAAGACTTGGGAGCTTGTGTCGCTACCTGAGAACCAGAAGCCCATCGGTGTGAAGTGGGTATTCAAGGCCAAGAAAAATGCTAAAGGAGAAGTTGTCAGGCACAAAGCAAGATTGGTGGCTAAAGGATATAGTCAGAGACCAGGCATTGACTATAATGAAGTTTTTGCTATCGTGGTGAGAATGGAAAGTATCAGGATGGTGATATCTCTCGCTGCTCAAAATGGATGGAAGATACACCAGATGGATGTGAAGTCAGCTTTTCTCAATGGATATCTCGAGGAAGATATCTATGTGGAGCAACCCCCTGGATATGTCATTGAAGGTCAAGAAGATAAGGTGTTGAAGCTGAAAAAGGCACTGTATGGTTTGAAACAAGCACCAAGAGCATGGAATAGCAGGATTGACAAGTACTTTCAGCATAATGGATTCAGTAAATGTCCACATGAGCATGCACTATACTGCAAGGTGCAAGGGGGAGCAATATTGATGGTTTGTCTATACGTTGATGATCCCGTCTTCACAGGCAACGATCCTCAAATGTTTGAAGAATTCAAGAAGACAATGGTTCGAGAGTTCGAGATGACAGATATTAGACTAATATCATACTATCCCGGTATTGAAGTAACTCAAAAGGAGGAAGGAATTTTTATCTCACAGATGACCTGAAGAAGTTTAAGATGGAAAGCTGTAATCCTGTGAGCACACCAGCAGAGTGCGGACTTAAGTTATCTAAGGATGATAAAGGAGAGAAGGTAAACTCAACGGAGTTTAGAAGTCTAGTGGGAAGACTGAGATACCTAACTTGTACCAGACCAGATATTCTCTACGCAGTTGGATTAGTCAGCAGATACATGGAGGCACCAACTATGTCACACTGGAATGCTGCAACGAGGATACTGCGCTACATCAAAGGTACAATCGATCATGGTCTACTTTATACTAAGTCAGAAAATTTCAAATTGGTTGTTTACTGCGATAATGATTGGGCAGGAGACATGGATGATCGCAAAAGCACTACAGGATTGGTATTTTTCCTGGGAGATACAACTTTCACATGGAGTTCAAAGAAGCAAGCTATTGTGACATTATCTACTTGTGAAGCAGAGTATGTTGTCGCGACATCGTGCGCGTGTCATGCAATATGGTTAAGAAAGTTGTTGAAGGAGTTGAACATGACACAAGAAGAGTCAACTGAGATTTATGTTGATAACAAGTCTGCTCTGGGACTAGCAAAGAATCCGGTGTTTCATGATCGCAGTAAGCATATTGATACAAGATATCATTTTCTGAGAGAATGCGTGGAGCATAAAGAAGTAATGCTGAAGTATGTGAAGACTGAAGACCAAATTGCTGATATTTTCACGAAGCCATTGCAACAAGATGTGTTTGTCAAGATGAGGACGCTACTCGGAGTTACGACTAATTAAACTTTAAGGGGGAGTGTTGAAATTATAAAATAAAGTTTAATTAAAAAAACAACAAAAATATCAGAGAAGTCTAGAAATGGTTCCTGTCTGCATTGTGTGGAAGGTTGTAGAGGGTGGCTGAATGATTGTGATTAAAATAATGAAAAAAAAATGGAGACCACTAGAGGATGCAGATTTTTGTGGTAGGTTAGAGAATTTGAAGCCTATAAATAGGCTCATTTAGAGCCGTGTATGATGTAGAGCCAAAAGAGA